GTGGTTTAAAAAAAAAACTATGGGGACTGTTTAAATAAAAAATTTAAAATTTTACAAATTTTTAGTAAAAGGCACATTGCCATTAGCTCCTCTCAAAATCCTCCCCCTAGCTTCAAACACAGCTCATAGCTCTTGTCATTTTCAGGAGCATTGTCATTTTCAGAGGACTTCTGAAGTCCTCTTTTGTGAGTGTCTTCAGCTGTGCTAGTATGGCTGCCTTTGTGCCCTAAATTGATTTAAAATATCTATGGCAATTTCTGTCAAATGAAAACACGATGCTGTGTCCCCGTCCTCCTCTTCCACTTGATCTGGCACTGTGTGACTTCTGGGTCTTTTCCAAAGTCAAAGAGGTCACGAAAGGGAAGCGTTTTGAATGGATTCAGGACACGGAGGCAGCCACAACTGTGCAACTAAAGATGCTCATGAGAGAGGACTCCAGAACTGCTGCAGGAAGAGGGAAGAATGATGGCATGGGTGTGTTTGAAGCAAGGGAGAGTATTCTGAGAGGGGTTCATGGTAATGTATCTTTTATTGTAATAAAAAATGTTTTAAGTTTGAACAGTCATATTTTTATCAGACCTCACATTTCTTCTGACGATAATATTTTCACTACCTCCCAGCAAGTTTCCCTTTTTTGCTATTCTGCCACAGTGGCCACAGGAAAGAGCAAAGTGGGGAAGGAAGTGGGTAAGATGTGGTGGAAATCCTTGTTGGTAGGAAGGAGAAGTACAAGCAGAAGCCCTCTGGGGCCTGGCTGAAGGGCAGGCAGCTGGGAGAGGAGGCAGCAGACAGTCTTGCTTCCTGCTCTGGGCTTGACATATGAGCAAAGAGACAGAGGTGAAGGAGGTGAAGGCAGGGGAAGCTGGCAGCAGAGGCTCCTGCATCAGGTCCACTCTGGGGCTCTTGGGTAGGCTGGGTGCCCTCACTGTGATGAGGTGCTGGGAAGAATGGAGATAACAGTATTCATGTTGGTCCAGGGATGTTCAGGGTCCTTTTCTGCCACCCGCAGTTCTACTTCAATGAGAAGAGATCCACACCTTCCCCTGTGTACTCGCTGGAGAGCGAGAGGGAAATGGAGGCCTGGGCAGAGGTGAGGCTGCCAGGATGAAGGGCGTGCTGGCCCAGAGGTGTTCAGTGTGGCTGGGTGTCTTCACTCCAAGGCCCTGAGCCCCACCCTCTGCCGTCTTGGCTTCCCCGAGCTCACAGAGAGCCACCTGATCCACAGTGTCACCTGGGCAGTTCTAGCCAGAGAAGAAAAAAGGCCACAAGGAAGGCACAGGAAGCATGAAGCCTATAGCGGCCAGGAGAGGACAGCGGGCTGAGTGCCAGCTCTCACCCACCCTGAGCACCAGGCCCAGCAGAAGTCACCCCACAAGTAGGCACATGTAGGGATATCTCTGTGACCCAGCATAGGCCCCCAGGTCACACCTGCCCACCATTCTATGGGGACACAGCTCCCGCGGTCTTAGACACCCTTCTGTGCCAAGGAGGGGCTGGTAGACACCTGGAGGGCTGAGCTTTTGGGGGAATCCAAGAGGGCCAGATTAAGCCGCTGACACAGGGTAGGTAACATGCAGTGGAGGCAAGTTCCCCTCCCAAGGGAAAGTGGCCTGGGAGCCAGATGAGATTCCTACTAGAAAAATTAATAAAGATATATTGTGGGGAAAGTATAAATTTTTACCATGCTACATGTGTTTTGGAAATATTTCCTTCCGGGACTGCTAAGCTGTCCGAACAGATGGGATTTTCTCCCACTTTGGCAGATATCCCACCCTCTGGAAACGATACCTACAAGATCAGCCGGTCCCCAGGGTCCCCGAGAGCAGCAGCAGCAGCTGCCCAAAGCCCTGCATCCAGAGAAGTCAACCAAAGGGAAAAAAACACTAAGAAGCCTAAGAATACTTATTTACCCTGTGTGGAAAAACCCTGGCCACTAGGAAGCCCGCCTGTGGCCTGGAGACATCCATAAAGCCAGGGTTTCCAAAGACCCTGAAGCTTCCCCAGGAAACTCTGGGCTCTGCACTGGTGCATGGGGAAGTCGCTTCCCACATTCAAGCCCTCAGTCTGCTCTTGGCTCCCTGCTGCCCATAGCTGAGTCCTGCAGAGAACACCTGGAGGGGCGTCCTCCGTGCAGCACCCTTCCTGTGAGGGTGCTTGCATCCACCCCCACTGGTCCTTTTTGCCTTTGGGGCCTAGTTTCACTTCCCTGCACTCTGGAAGCCAGGACTGGCATGAGACAGGAAGTGCCAGGCCCAGCTGTTTACTACCCCTGCCCGCTACTCCCTCTCCAGCCTGTGCCCTGCCATGCCATGGCCATGGGAAACGCTGTGTATAGATGACCCGATGCAGCTGGGCCAAGTGTCCTGATCCACTGGGGACCAATACCACTCCCTTCCTTGCCACTGCTTCTCCTTCGGAGAACAATCTGTTCCCATGTCTGCACCATGTGACCCTGCCAGATGGCCTCTGGGGTGCTGTTTTGAGAGCAGCCAGGGTCCTCACGTGGCTGTGTGGGGCCATCACAGTCTGACACAGCTGATAGATACAATGTGAGCAAGGAAAGCATGGGGACTAGCCAGGAGTGGCACACCTGTAATCCCAGCGCTCAGGAGGCTGAGGCAGGAGAGTTGCTGTGAGTTCAAGGCTGGCTTGGGCTACATAGCAAGACCCTGTCTTAAAAACACCAAAAAGAGGGCCAGGGATTTAGCTCAGTGGTTCTGCTGCCTGCCTCACAAGCGCAAGGTCCCAAATTCAATCCCTGGTACCAAAAAGAAAAGCAAAGAAAAAGCCAAGCCCGAGACTGTGATAAATGCCACAGCTGCTCCAGGTCAGCCATGCAGTGTGACATGGACGGGTATGCACGGTGATCCAGAAGAAAGATTAGGATGCAAGTACATTCTCCAGAGTTGGAACTAAGGACCACGCACTCAGCACCTTGGCTGTGGCCAGATGTGCAAGCTCGGCTATGGGACAGAAGTCAGGACAGTAGCATACTAGGTTTCTTCCTGGTGCCCAGGATCCTGGTCTCAGCTCCCAAAGACAAAGTCCGACAGGGTCTGAGGGGTCCAAGGTTCTCACCTTCTTGCTGGCTGTCCACAGGTACCACACTCAGGCCTAGAGGCCACCGGCTTCCATGCCTCTCCCCTCAACGGGGCAGCTCATTCCTTGGAGGCCAAGAGCAGTCATGCTGCATGCTCTTCCAATGACCTTTGGATGCTCTGTGAGGAGCCCTGCTCTGGTGGTCACGCAGTGCTCTTCCTCTCCCATCGGCATCAAGGTCACTCGCTGGGGTCCTGCACCCCATCTACCCACTTCTCTACCCTGACCGAAATCCCCACTACCGGAAGGGCTGGGACTTTACAACCTGTGAATCAGCAGGAGTCATCCTGGAATTCTGCCCACTGCATGCACTAAACAAAACACTCTGAGGGACACCAGGTCCAAAAAATGTGAGAGCCACCCAAAGCTTTGCATTAAGTTCATTTTTGTTCAGTTTGATTCTTTAAGACTCACTGTGTAGTTCAGACTGACATTGAATTTATGGCAATCTTCCTGCCTCGGCCTCCTGAGTGCTGAGGTTACAGACCTAGTAACTTCTTTCTTGTTCCCAAGTGAGAAGATGCTTCCTGATTTTAAAGCGTTATTGCTCTGAAGGTTGTCCATGGACCAACACACATTAGTGAGAAAGTAAGGACCAACTGCATGCTGATGACTCCCAGTGAGGCCCAAAGTAACCCCTGCAAGCTTGTGGCTGGCCACAGCTGTCTGCTAAGGAAGCGGTTCTCAAAGCAAGGCCCAGGCATATTAGATCGAGATACAGATAGGTCAGCTGTCCACTCACAGCTGCCACCCAGAAACCCTGGGGGTGAAGGCTGGGTTCTGATGGACCTGAGCTGCTTCTGGACAGGTGGAGTTCAGGAACCACTGGCAAAGGCGCCTTTGCAATGTCCCCACATGAGAACAGGGGACAGCACTGTTAGGGACGCCTGCATCTCCCTCCATCTCACGGTCAGTCGAGGCCAGCTATGAACCTGGGCCTCCGGGTACCTGGGTCCCTCGCTTGGGTCCACAGTTGGTCTTTAGAGAAGGCTACACGGGGGGCGGGGGGTTGCGAGGCTGGAGCAGAGCCGGAAGGGACCTTGGGCCAAATGACAGCGAGTGCAGGGCCCCTCCCTACAGTTCCCACACCCTTGCCACGTGCCCTTCCCTCTCCCAGAGCCAAGGAGTTGAGGGGCACAGCCCTCCAGGAACAGGGACGGGGCTGAGGGAGGGGTGGGCACAGCTATGCCAGGCGCTCAGAGCACTGGGAGTCCAGGAGGGCGGGCGTACCACTGCCTCGGTTTACCCAAGAGGAAAAAGAGATGAAGGGTTTGACCAATATCTCAGCAAGTTAGGAGGCAAAGGGGGCGCAGGACGGAGGGATCCCGGGAGCTGCTGCTGGAAGAAGACGCTGCACCCCGATTTAGGAGCGAGGCTCCAGACAGAAAGAGCACAGAGGACTGCAGCAGCAAGAGGGGGAATTGCACAACCCAGCCAAGAAGAGACTTGGCTGGACTTTGAACCCTGGGCCGCTCAGCCTGCAGGGTACATGCGCGACCCACTCTGTCCACTCCAGCCTCCCACACACACGAACCCCACGGGGCTGCCCACACCAGAAAGGGCCCCGCCCCCCGGAGGGGAGGCATCCCACACGCAGGGCCCCCGGTCCCTTCCCTGGGCAGGATCCCTGCAGAAGGCTCTTAGGGCGCCTCTGATCCAGGCCCTCTTTGACAGAGAAACTGAGGCCCAGAGAGATCAAGGAGTGCTTAAGGTCACCTTGACACAGATAAAGGCCGTGAATGAAAAGATCGTACATCTGGGGTCAGGAGAAATCTGGGCGTTGGGCAAGTCTCTCCCCGTCTCTATGCCTTCCCCTTTCCTCTTTTTTCCAGCTATTTCTTTCTCCCTCTACCTTTCTCTCTCCCTCTCTTCCTCCCTCTCCCTCTGCCCTAACCTCTTACCTGTGGCTCAGCATGCTTGTACTTTGTCCCCTCTTTCTGGGATAGCTGCCAGGGCAGACTTTAGCCTGCGGTGGAGCAGAGATTTATACCCTCCTGTGGGCTGAGATTTCCTCACCACGCTGAGACCCGCTCTGCCTGTGGGGTGGCGGAGGAGGACACACCTTTTCCCCCTCCCGGCACGAGCACCAATAGGGAAGTGGCCAGGGAAACTGCGTAAGTTTCCCTATTTTTTGTGACTCGCTGCAACTCATTAAAACTCACGTACTTCCAGCCAGAGGAGGTTACGAAGCAAACTGGATTTATGACCCAGCCTCAGCCCTGCTGAAGAGAGGAGGCTTTCTACCACAGGGACGACTGCTCCCCACTGCACCCCCAAGGAGCCCTCCAGAATGGGAGAAAAGTTATTGTTTTTTCAGTCTGCGTGATTTTTCATTGTCAGGTGACTGATTTTCTAATTCTTTCTTCCACTTTGTGGAGTTTGAGTAATTTTGATTATGACAGGAAAAGTTTGGCATAAGTCATGTGTGTATGAGGTATGTTGGAAAAATACAGTGGGTGTCTAATTTTTTTAAATATTACAGAAAAAGATACACTACCTGTTGTAATCAGGGTTTTGGTAAGGGAATACATTTAATATGTGACACATAATTTATAAGATTATTTTATGATTTTTTCCAAAAAGTCAAATGCAGAGGAGTACAAGAGATTAACCACACACTAAAGACCCAAAGAATCCAGCCAAAAGGCCTGGATTCCACAGCAATGTCCTGCACAAGTCCAGCTGAAGGCCTAGAGCCCTAGGCAGTGTCCTCCAAGAGTCCAGCCAGGGGCCTCATTCTTGTCCCTATTGAGAATCTGCACCCGGAAGGCCCAAAGGCCAGTGGTGGAAGCCAGAAAACCTGCGCAGGTGAGGTGAAGGATCTGTTCCACCAGGCTGAGGGATCTGCGCTGGAGCCAGGAAGTGATGCTCAAGGTGAAGATCAGAGCTCCCAGACACGAACAGCAGCCATTCCCAATGACAGCAAGGCCTGGGAGGTCGTGCTCAGCCAAATTCGCATCAGGAAAACCAGCTGCAACAAGCTTCTCCTAGAAAATCGACAGCCCACGATCTTCCTCTCCAGCTCTCTTTTTATGGCTATTGGCAACAATCTTCAGGTGGGTCTTCCACACCCAGACCACACAGATTCAGTTCAGCTGGGCGTTCCAAGTTGACCATTAGTTAATCCACTACACCAGCATTAACCCCCTCCAAAACACCCCCTCTTCCTTTGGACACACTTACCTTGCCATCCTTGCCACCTTCTCAGACAGTTCTGGAAGGTCCTCTTTCATGAGTGTCTGCAGTTGTACTCCTGTGGCTGCCTCTGTATCCTGAATGGATTCAAAGCATTTTCCTTTTCATCTTTTTTTTTTTTTGGTACCAGGGATCCACCTCGGGATGTGTGCTTGTGAGGCAGGTGGCTTTGATGTTGGGGAGGAGCCAGAAGTCACACAGTGCCAGATCCAGTGAATAAGGCGGGTGAGGACACAGCATCATGTTTTTGAGGAGTCTGCCTTTCCGCCGGATGGCGCTTGGCAGCAGCAGTCACCAGGTTTTTTATCATACCTGGTAAAGACACTCATGAAAGAGGAATTCCAGAACTGCTTCAGAAAGAAACAAGGATGGAACAAGTATATCCAAAGTGAGGGGGAGGATTGTGAGAGAATGAGTCTCTCGTACTCATTTTTATTGTACTCAATATGAATTGCACTCCACAAACTTTTTTATTTAACATTCACTCTATTTTGTGGTCAAGCTCAATCTTCTCGCAGGACAAAGGTGCTGCTGCTTGCTCCACTGTCCCACTCACGCTGCAAGAGCTGCTCTCTCAGCCACTTCTGCATCGTTGCTGCATCAAAGCCACCCAGGTCCCCACAGCTGTGCTGTGCACAACTTCAGCCCAGCTTCAGCACCCTGCCTCCCAGCTCCAGTCCACACTGGCCACACAGACAAAGCTGTAAATAGGAAGCCTTGTAACGAAGGGTATAGCGAGCACCCGTCCTTGAGCCCTCTGGGTGCCAAGCGTCCCCTTGCCCAGGGGTGGCTGTTACAAGGCGTCTTGTGCATGCCTTTGGCTGCGGATGGAAAACAAAAATGATGCTCAGAGCCCTCCTTCAAATCCATGTTCTGAACCTGATGACAACGCTGGATTGTTCAAATTTTCATATTCCTGTGGGCAAAAGTTAGGGACAGGAACTTTTTTAGAGAAATCTTATGAAGTTCTCACCCCATCAAAATGAACACACTTGCCCTCGTTTTAGGGCCTGGAAGATGACTTTTAGAAGTCAAAACTCAGATGTAGTAAAGAATACTTGGGTAGAACATGCTGGAGTGAGAAGTAAACCTAAAGATAATCTCTGGGCACAGTGCCACTTGCCTGTAATCCCAGCACTTGGAGGCTGAGGCAGGGGAATGGATCACCCTGAGTTCAAGGTCAGTCTGAACTACAGAGTTGGACTGTGCCTCCAAAAAAGAAAGGAGAGAATGAAGGAAGAAAGGAAGGGAGGGAAGGAAAGAAGAAAAGAATTCATCCACCAGTGCTAAAAGAGCCAACTGGGGACCAGGCATTTAGAGGAGGTCACAGGTGAACTGGCCGTATCAGCTTCATGGTGTTTACATGATGGGTAGTGTGTTCTGGAAGCCATGACTACCCCAAAATAGATTTTTTGGGAAGAGGGGATAAATGTTACGTTGTAGCCATATTTATTCTTTTTCCAAGGACCAGCTGAGGGTGATGCTTTTGTTCCATCATTCTGACAGGTAGGATTGAAGAGTGAGCTATATATAGATTTTGGATGGAGCCAAGTAAGTTTCAAGGTTACAATTCACCCCACCAGGGAGGTTTCCCTGGAAAGTGCCCTAATCTCAGAACAAAGGCCAGGCAGACAACAGAAGGACCCAAGTGCTCTGAAGTCACCAAGGACACGGGCAACCTGGGCCTACACCACACCATCCACCCCAGCCACAACGTTCAAGGGGGACGATGGAGATCTTGTGATCTGGAAAGAGGAATTTGCATAAAGACACTCTTCTCTGGGAACACTTGATGGCAGAGTCCCAGAACGGCTGTATCTGTCTTTTCAGGAACTCAAGCCCCAGCATCACTGAGAGTGAGTTCCCAACCACCCCTCATCACCCCTACATGCAGGGCCCAGGGGACCAGGTTGCTTCTCCATGCCCTGCACCCCCTGCCGCTGAAGCTCGAGCAACTCAACTTCTCCCCTGCTGCAGGAAGTGGACAGGCACAGAATGTTCTGTCATATCTCGAAATCCTCTGAGGTTTGAGGTGGAAGCCACCCAGGATGTTTACTGCAAGGATTGGAACAATGATTCTTCATTTCTGAGAGCCCAGGAGGCCTCTCAGGCCACTCTGGTTCACAGTCAGCAGCATCCTGAGTTCCTTGCCCTCTTCCTTCAATGAAACAAGGACCACAGGGAAGGCAAGAAGGAAGTGTGAAGAGAGGAGGCCCACCGTGGCCACTATGTCCCGGTCTTGTCCTCGGTTTAAGGGACAGACACAGCCCCCAATACTCGGGCATATTTTCCCTGCAAATTCACTCATTCTTATCAGAACAGAGTTCTGCAATTTTGATGCAAGAGTGTACAATCATCAAGCTTTTAGAATAAATTTAGCAGTAAGATCTCTTACAATTGAGAATTCTTCATCAACTGGGCAGTAACAGAAATAATCAAGTCAAGTCAGCCATGGTGCTGCATATCTTTACTCGCAGTACTTGGCAGGCCAACGCAGGAGGATTGCCATGAGTTTAAGGCCAGCCTGAGATATATAGTGAGGTCAAGACCAGCCTGAAGTACATAGCCAGATCCTGTCTCAAAAAACAAAAGAAAAAGCAAGGAAAGAAAATTCTATGTCTTAATCCTGCTGCTGTAGCCAATAACCTTAACCAGTGGCCAAACAGTGCCCACCTGTCATGGAAGCAGAGGCTGACCTGGGTTTCGGTTGTTAAGTTCAAGCTAACCCTTCCTCAAGGCTCTAGGGACATCTGGCCCTTTGTGCCTTTCCTTGCTCCTGGAAGTTTCCTCCAGCTGCAACTATAGCCTGAATCATTTCCCCTCTTTCCGCATCCTAAGGGACCCTGGTGACATGGATTCCACCAGATGACCCCGGGTCCTCTCCCACCTCAGAATCCCGGCATCCCCTCTGCAGAGCCCCTCGGGCTGCAGTAGGGAGCATGGTGTCCACAGCTTCCAGGCACAGCACATAGTCTGTTACTCAACCCGCCACAGGTTCAGAGATTCTTCCCAGCCATCACAGCATGGGCATGGAATCCTCAGAAGAAACAAGCACAGTGGCTCTTGTGAACCTGGTGACACATAGCTGTGGTCCCAGCTACTGGCAGGTGAGACCTCATCTCCTAACAACAACAGCAACAACACAAACAAAGTTGTGCATTACCATGGACTGGAAGAGTATTATTCCTTTCCCACCCAAGATTAAGGCTGTCCGGAAAACAGCAGCACAGTACACACAGACCTTCTGTGACCTACAGGAGAGATTTCCTTTTGCTACTCAATTAGAGAAAATCTAGTCTTCATCACAGAAGAACTTTTGTTCTGGTCTTGCCTTTCCCTTTCTCCTCCCCACCTGGAGCTTCCCAGAGAGATAGATGCTGGGACAAGTTGAGAATTCCAGCAACACTGGCAGTGACGCTCACAGTCATGGCTCCCTGTCCCCCAGCCAGCCCTCCCACGGATCCAGAGCATAGATGCGGGGGGCCTGGTCCTATTTCAGTGTCCGCTGCTGCTCCACACGGCACCCAGGCCCAATCCAGCACCCAAGCGCCTATACATCCTGCTGTCCAGTCCCCCAAATCCTCCCTCCACCTATGCGGCTCAGGCCCCAACCCCAGCTGTACCTGTCAAGACCTAAAGACCTAAAGACCAAACCCAGAAAGAATGCATTGATTCGGGCATGGGCACCACAATGGGGACATGGGAGGCAGGTGAACAACGTGCGTGTTCAGGGAGGCTGAGGCGAGGGGAAGTTTGTAAGGGGGGATGGAGGGAGGTCATCATGTCAGTTATTGTGACACAGTGACCGATGGCTACGGTATCAATACAAGGT